TTTTGAAGATTTTTTGCCTGTTGCTTTCAATTTTTCTTTTTTTTTTTTTTTTTTTAATTTTCCATTTTTCCACTTACAGAGAAAAAATATTTATTGCATTGAGATGCACTAATTAAAGCCATTTTCTGGTGTTTGGTTACTGAAGTGTTTGATGTCTTTCTGACAAGACCATGAAATGCACACAGTGTCCACAGGGACAAAATTTGCTGAACACGGTGCTTTGTAAATGAGGGGACACAGTGTCGCAGCAGCTCATGAATATGAAACGCCCATGATGCTACCTCAGTGGACTTGGGAACACAGATGAATCCTGTCATGTGCTAAATGAGACCAATTTCTTTCACTTAACTTCATCTTCAATCAGACCTTCCATTTGCCTGTTTAAAATTCCCCAAACGTGATGCAGAAGGTAACAGCATTCAGTAAAACAAAGTTTTGCAGCAGCAGAGATACTGTAATAATTTCAGTTTTACATTTTATGAGCAAGCAACTTAAACTAAAGTTAGTTTCATTCTTATACCTGCTTGGTTACAGGGGACTGCCAGATCCAGAAGCCACTCTTTCTGTTTTCTGGATATGGTGGTGTGTGGACGGGGAGGGCAGCACAGTCCCCCCTACAAGAGTGTCCATTCTGAATTGGTCTTTGAAACACTCACCCAGTTGGGGGAAGTGAATCAGACAATGTGAGATGAAGTGTTTTTTTGGGGTTTTTTTCGGTGTCAGGATGTTGGCTCAGGAGACTTAAAGCAGTTCAGGAAGGAAGCAACCACCACACTGCTGACTAAATGCATGCCTGACCTGGGATATTGTTTCTAGATCCATCTTAGCTACTGATTTATTGCCTGACCTGGAACAGATGCTGTCTGTCCCCATTTATGCTGCCTTGTATCTAACAGAGAACTTAGTTCTTTGGGACAAGGACCAGATCTTGCTATGAGTTTGTAGGATTTTAAGAGACCCACCCTGCAGATGTTGCTACTAAATCAAAAATTAGCCCTGCCTGGGAGGGAAAGTGCAATTCACCAACTTGCAGGAGCAGCTGGGTATTAGATTGGTGCAGGTTCTCCCACCTCCTGCTTGTTGCATTTTGTGGTTGTTAACCTTTGCCTGTCAGTAAGTTATTTGCTAAGAGGTAAAAAAGATGATGATTACTGCATATACTTTAGTATGAACACATAAAGCCCTCCTTTCTTTATGATTTGAAAAGCTGCTGTTCCTTGCCTATTGTTTGACTGTCTGCATGTAGCATGGGTCACCCTCAGTCTTTCCCCTTCATCTTTTCCTCCTACCATTCACACACTTCTGCCTTATGTAATTGGTGCTTTGCCGTAATTTAGTCATGAAGTTCTTTTTGTGTAAGACCTAGCTCAGTTTACTGTTGCAGTAAAAACGTTCTTACTTACATGCTGGAACTTAGATGTTCTGAGACAATCAATTTGGTGCAGTGACTTAACTCCCCAGTCAGCCAACATTTGGTACCGCTGTCTCCTGCCCCACCATAACTTCTCTATGAATACATTCATTTTGGTTTCATTCTTTGTTCACCCTTATTCACCATCATCTGGGAGGTGGAGGGGAGTTTGCATTTGTCATCTAGCACTCACCATTGTGTCATCGTGGTGCTCACTCATCATTGCACGGGCCATTTGTTCACTTCATTGCAGTGACCTGGTGTGTCCTTTTGTGCAGTTATTTCTAAGGTTTGCCTACGTGAGCATGAGAGCCTGGCCAGTAAAGTAGGTGTCAAGGTTCAGCACCAAAAACACAGGTTTATGGAAAATTATCTGAAGCCCCCACACTGAACATGAGAGTTAAAACGTTGATCACAGAGCAAAGCACATAGAGTGGGGGGTTGTAATATAACCTTGTTCTTGGAAAAATGCAGCACAGGACTGGGAGGACATGGTCCCACGAACATTTCTGCGTGTACTAATGTTATATGTAAAACCTCACTGCAGCGAATGGCAATACTAAAAGTACAGCCTTTGCCTACTCTATTGCAGCACGATAGCCTGTGTGCTTCTTTGCCTTGCAGCTGACATAGGCCATGACTTGGCTGTGTTACCACAGCTTACAGGGAAAAAAGATCTGAGTCCCAAGAAGAGCAACAAAAACAATTAGGCAGCTGGAGACTGAGTGAGGGGAAAGGTTGGCTCCTTGGTGATAAACTGAGAACTGAGACACTTTGCAAACTGTACAGAGAGAGAAGGAGGAGGGATTGTGGAGAAGTGGCACCATGGGAATTGGCAGAGGGAAGAGGAAATTATGAGTAACAAGTGAAATAAAGACCCAGATATTTCAGGGCTGATTTGCCACTGATAGCAGTTATCACAGGGAGCTGATATTTTCTTAAAATTTGTCACATTTCCATTCTGTTTCCTGTCAGCTCGACAGTCCTAAAGGGCATTGCTTCTGCCTAGAAATGGGCAAGGCATCCACACTTTGCAGTAAGAATAAGCTTGCGGTGGCCTTTGTTGGAGGGGCTGGCAGGAGCCCCCAGAGCATTTGCAGCTCTTATGTGTGAAATATTTTTAGAGTGTCTATAAAATATCAGAAGCTTGAATTTCTTTTGGAAAGAATTTCTATGTGATCACCTGGATTTTGCTAATATAGAGTGGAGGTCACGCTCTGCAAGGGGTTTAGAAATCTCTCCATGGAATTCAGTGGCAATGAGACAAAATCAGCACTGAAGAACCCAGGAGTATTTGGGAACCTGCAAAATAGAGGGGACATCACTGACCAGGCTCTAAGTTTACAGCTTTTTCTAGTGCAAAAAGAAGTCAACAAAACCAAAACAGAACTTGGAAGAGGAGACTCCAGAAGTAGCTGCCAAAATGAGAACTGAGTGAAGAAATTCAGTTTGCTGCAAACACCTTCCACATTTCTGCTGTCAAAAGAGGATAAGGATCTGACTTTCTCCTGCAACAGGGAATGTGCTTGAGGGGTGAAGACAGCTCTGTTCCCAGGTAGTTCTTAATTTAGTTGTGTTTGCTGAGAAAGATTCATAGTCTCCTGATGAAAAGGATAAATTAGCTCAGGAGAGGTTAGGTGGTTTCTCATTCCCTTGCTCGTTTGCCTGGACATAACAGGGCACATCTGCACAGAGCTTCATTCCCTGCCTTGGACCAGTCTCACCAGTCTGTTCCCTCCTTGGTATTTGTTGCTTATATACAGGGGCTTTCTCCCACATTATTACTGAGCAGGTTTTACTAGCTGCCTCAACTGGTCAATCTGTCCATGGTGATATTTTTGTCCCATAAGTGCATTTTGCTACAAGTTTTACTAAGAGCTGAGAGCCCCTGCAGGGAAGAGCCAGCAGGATAGCAGCTTCTACCAGGTATTGTCCCTTCAACCAGAGGAGGAGAGATCTGCCTGAAATGCCCAGCCACGCACAGGTGAGGCCTTTCTTGCACATGCCTCCTCTATCTCAGACACAGCCTGGGGGGCTGTTGCTGCAGTTTCCCTTTAAATGTCTTTGGGAAGTTTGCTGCAGTTGGAGAGCTGCTTCGCAGGCACCTGCTCCTTGGGTGGCTGGGGAGCTAGAAGGCACAGCTCTGCTGAGGCTGGCCAAGCTGTCACTCCTTTTGCCGTGGCCAGGCTCTTGCGACAGCCCCTGTCCCGCTCAGCCTTCCACCAGGCAGCCAATTAGTGAGAAATCCCACTGGGTGGCCAGCTCTGGATGGCCACCGCGCCAAGGCCCAGGCTGACCTGTGCCCTGCTGCAGCTGGGCCAGAGCTGCCTCCTGGCCAGTGAGTGGGGGAACATGATGGACGTTCAGCAAGGGAGGGCAGCTGAGAGCCTGCACAGCTCTGACAGGCGGCTGGACCAGGGGCTTCTCAGGAAGACTCTGCCCAGAGCCCTCAGCACCATAGGTGGGAATGTCTCTCCAGCTCCTGAATATTCATCTCAGCCTGGGCTAAAAAAAGTGGCAAAGCCAGGCCCAGCTGCCTGCTGCCATCCAGCAGTAGCATGGCCATGCTGTTGGCAGAGCCGGGAGCAGCCTGCTCACTCCAGCACTGAAGGAGCCAGCTCTGCCTGTACACTAGCCAAGTGAAACCTCTTCCCTGAGCCAAACCACCAGCTTCTGCGTGGTCTGTGGGCTAAGGGTCTCTGGAGAGCCTTTGTGGCCTTGAGTCTTTAAAGATGCTCTGTGTTGGGGTACTCTTTTCTTGTTTTGTGCCTCCAGTTACTTTCCCTTCTCTTCCTCTCCTTTTTTACTGTCTAACTTTTTATAATACTTTGTAAAATCACAAACCATACAACACTCTCAGAGCCTTAATCCTTTAGCAGGATTCAGTGTACACTCAGTTCTTCCTCCCCTCCTGAATTCTTTTGTTTGTAGCATCCTTTTTAGCTGGAGTAGCCACAGTCCTTGTGCTGGGAATACCCAGTGACCCTCACCCATTCCAGAGTCACACTGGAAATCATGACAATGCAACTAGATGCATCTTCCTTGGTGTTTATATCTGCTAGACCACTAGCACTTCCTCCCTCAGCCTTCGGGATGGTCACAGGTCTACACAACCTGAGACCCCAGTAGCAGTTTCTTCAACATGCAGTTTTACATAGCTTCTCTCAGTTTCTGCCCCATGTTTCATTTCTAACAGAGTCTTGGTGACTGATGGCTGAGCAAATGATAACACATAAGAAGCAAATTCCTGCCAGCTGATGATGGCAAGTAGGCAGCAGGGTTTAGTGCAAGCAGCTTCTTTCGGCTTCACAGTTGTGTTCAAATGCATGGTCCATGGCCTACAGAGTTCTACCCGTACTGCTCCTCTTGGAAGATTTCTTGTGACCCCAGGCTTCAAACTTTAATTACCTTCTTTTAATATTAAGCAATATATTTTTAATTATTGCTAAATAACTCCTTTGCATTCTCCTTTAATAAGGAACAGGCTGCTTCATATCTGTGAAGCAACGGAACCTTTGTCTTCAGTGAGAGGAGAGCAGAGCAGAGCACAACACTCCTCACTTACTGATGCTGCTTTCTCTTTTTGCAGACATTCCCGTGATCCCTGATTTGGAGGAAGTCCAGGAGGAAGACCTGGCCATGCAAGTGGCAGCTCCCCCCAGGTAAGAGCACTGCCAGGTGCTCTTGAGGCTCTCATCAGCTGTGCGAACAGGCTAGTGAAATTAAACCCATTTTATGCCTCTGGATGTTGGTAGCAGTGCCATTCAGCAGGATTTGGTGCTGTGTTTTGTGGCAGCAAGGCTCCAAGCTGAACAGCGCAAACTTCTTGTTTCCTATTATGCAGAAAAGCAAGTACTGCATATTCTCTCTCTTTATAAAAAACCTACATTAGAATAACATATTTGATATTCAAAAATTAAACTCTCAAAAGTGAGGAATTACTTGATTTAAGGTTGCCTGTATAACCTCAAATGCCTCCTACACATGCATTACCACACACATTTTGATTACATGTGGTCGTAGGCTGCTTTACCCTCCACAGGATATCCTTCTTACTCAAGTGCATAGTTAATTTGCAAAGTACAATCCTGTTGTTTGAAGGTGCTATCAGAGTAGCCTTGGGGTTAGCTCAAGGGAGACCAGAAAGTTTTTAAGAATGAAGGTTTTTGGGGGTTTGTCTTAAACATATGAGGAAAATCTTCTCTGTTGGGTCTATTGCCAAGATCACAGACTGGGATTTCTGTTGACCCTTATTGGGAGGGATGGGATATCTTACTTCTGGCCACAGATGCCTCTCTCACAAGTGTGGAGTAATCATTGTAATTATATAGCTATTAACAAAAGTAATTGACACTTTATAGTAGTAAGTTTAAAATTACTGTGTCTCTCACTAGAGCTCATTTCTTTTTATCTTCTTTTTTTTTTTAATAATGCTGTCTGATCCTCTTGTATTCATAGTTTTCCTGCAATAGAAAAGAGAAGCAGTTTTCCTGGACAAACACAAATAAATTCAATTAATATAGGTCTTTTCTATAGTATTTTATCACCTGTGAAGGCAAGTGTGGTACGACAGCATATCACCCCCCTACACCATGTTTCTCTTGGAATGCTACATTTTAAGATGTCGTATTTGATAGCTCTGACTCAGCTCAGACATGAAAATCACTAAGTCTCTTCTATTTAGTAACTTATATGGTGCTGCTCTCAGAGCCTCCTTTGCTATGGTGCTGGGGCTGTTTGAAGGCTCACTACAGTCCTTCTAGCCATTGCAGCTAGTCTATGGATCTTCTTTTTGGCGTCTAGTTTCTCTGAGGGAGTTCATGGTTGTTCCACATTCTATTTTTATGCATGTGTACAACCTGATACACAGATTTGTCAATGACTGTTCATTTGGTGACTGAGATATGGTTCTGTCTGGGTACATCCATCTCAGAAGTCTACAGGGGTGATGTGGACACTCAAGGTGGGTGTCACCAGACTATTGTTCATGCCACCCTTTTCCTCACATGTGCTTCCACACTGACTGAAGCTTGTTCTTTGACCCTTTCTGGTTGCAGTGTGCAGGTGAACCGAGTGCTGACCTACCAAGACCTGGACAAAGATTTAATGAAGTATGCTGCCTTTCAGACTCTGGTAAGTGAATGTTGCTATGGGTTGACCAGTGTGACTCCCTCTCCTTCCAGGAGCCCATCATCCTCCACTGTGATACTCAGCTGCACGAAATACACACCATTTTGCAATCCAAACTGCTTGCAATCTGACTGTTTGTTCCTCTCTGCTTTGTGACTTTTGTGCTTGTTTGTGTCTGTAAATAATGTGTTATGGTATCTGCTGCTCAGATGAGGCTCCTGCTGTTGTTCTGGACAAAGTATGTGATCCTTATGAGGCAAATGTGCTGATCTCTAGCAAGACCTGTCTGGTTAAATGAGGGTGTCTGCTTTCTCAATGTCTGTAAGACTGACTCTGTGTGTGTTCATAGGATGGGGAGGTAGACCTGAAGCTCCTCACCAAAGTTTTGGCTCCAGAGCATGAACTACAAGAGGTGAGTCTTTCTTTTGTGGAAACACCAACAAGGTAAAAGCTTCTTGTGTGTCTCAGACTGTAATAGTAAGCCTTTGTTGGTGGGGTGGAGAAGAGAGAGCTTGTCCAAGGTGTAAAAGGTTTCATTTACCCAGCAGATGATTTTAAAGATATATAGTGCTTTCTCAGTGTGAGTTTATGGCATCACTATGATTGGCCACCTTCAACATGAAGGAGCTAGTAAGGAAAATGTGAAAGGCCTAGTACTGTCACAGATCCCTGCAGAAACAGTGCTGTGTTGTGTATTGTCCTTTGGTAGCCACCATGAGCTACAGGTGGTTCTACAGAACAGTACAGAGGAACGAAGGCAGAAAGCATTTGGGGTTTGGGTAGAGGGGTTTTAAAGCAGGACAGAACAACCTCAATACAACTGGGTGGGCAGGAGCGCAGGACTTGCAACAAAGGATTTCTGCATCTCTGAACTGCACATGCTTCAGCAGAAGGATGAAAGATTTTTATGGCTCCTCTTTATGACCTGCCAGGGTGTATCTAATGTTAACAAGTATCAAAAAATCTGTCCTTTATGGAATTTTGGAACATAAATAATTCTGTCAACATTTTTAAATTGTAGCAGGAATTCACATTTCATTTTGGCTAGTATTCCTGTTCTAGCCAACTGAATCTGTGATCTCCCTGGTCAGGGCAGTTACCATTTACTTTCTCTCTTCACTGAATGTCTGGCGTTGTTCAGACAACTTTGGGTGTCACCAGTAACATTTCAGCATGTTTGTCTTTTTCCTCTTGGTAGGATGATGTCAGCTGGGATTGGGACCATCTCTTCACAGAGGTGTCCTCAGAACTAGTGACTGAGTGGGACCTGGGACAGTCTGAGAGAGAGGACCACCTCAGTCTGCCATAGAGTACTGGCAGAACAGACATCTCATACATGCATCCCCTGTAAATAGTTTAGCACTTCAATTTTCTATTCACTTGTTTGTATTTGAGACCTTACTTCAGACATGAAAATAAATAGGACCTTGCTTTACAGAAAACTGTCTCGTGAGAAGTTTTGGATATTTTGTAATAAGAATCTTTGTTCTCAAAAGAGATGAAGAATTCTAAACACAATAAAATATTAACTTATGAACAGTCGCTCCACCTCAATAGCAGCTTTACAGATAACTGCAGTGGTTGATCTTTCCTCTGTGGAAACCCAGCCTCCCTGGAGTGGACCATCTTCCAATGGAGTGTGGTTTGCAGTGATGGCTATCAGAGAAGCTTATGGGGGAAATGAACTCTAGCTCAGCCAGACCCAATACACTATGACATCAAGGTTACCATCTTCCTCACAACAGACACCACAAGTTGTCAGGATATCTGGTTTACATTTCATCCAGCAGCCTCCAGCCTTTCCCTGCTAATTTAACCCCTTTGCTGGAACATTACCTCTGTGTTGACTCAGGAAGCATCACCTGTTAAACTGCCAACACCACTTCTTACAGCACCTCTTTTTACCCTGAGGTTTCCCAGCTAAATTCTGACCAGGCATAACCCCATTTAGCTTTTGCAATCACATGAAACCACAGCTTGAATGGAGATCACTTCAGGCAATAGGTAGTTTGCAAAGAAAATACTGTTTATTCCATGTGTGTGAAAGAATGGAGCCTGATGCTCTCAAAAAAGGTAACTCCCTGGTGGGTGTCTCCTTGGAACCAAGTGACCCACTCCTATTTTCATCTAAAGAAAAACCCATTTAGCTGTTAATACCTTATCCCCATAGAACTGTGGTCATTATTTGCAGGAAACAGTAACATTACTTCCTAAGCCAATGTCCTTCAAAGCCTTGTCCCATTGGAGAATCTTGCTGTATACTTTGGGGGGGGGGGCAGTGCAGGTGCTTGGGAGGAAGCTTGCTGTGCTGTTCTTCTTGGCTTGTTTGGTCAGTCTAATAGAGTATGGCATTTCCATTTTTATGACAGCAGGACAGGTCAAATAACTCGCTGTGAATTCAGTACTCTGCAGAATTTCAGATCAGAGTTGATAAACCAGACAACTCTACCAACAAGAGTGGGGTTCCAGTCTGGGGCCACAAAAATGATGGAGGCTTATCTGTCTTAAGGACACACTAAGCTTTTTACGACCAAGAAATCTCCTGTAACTGGAAAACTAGGTGAGACGGAAAGGAAACCAGTGTATGGAGGTTAATCCAAATATCTTTCTCTGAGCAGAGAAACCTGTTTTGGTATGAGCAGAAACTTCCCAGCTGCGCTAGCATCTATTTTTCTGTGACACCTATGGTTCTTGGCCAAAGAGAATTTAGAATGCTTCCTACATTCCAGAAAAAAAAAAAATTAAATTCAGCAAACTAAAATACTTTAGTAAATCAGAGAAACCCAACAAGCCACTCTGAGAGAGAAAAAAATGGGTGCTGTTGGCTACACCCCCTGACTGGGGACCCTGGGTGGGGATACTCTGTGGTGGGAGGCAGGTGTATGTGGGCCAGGTCTGTGTCCAGTCTGGGCCCTTGGGAGCCCCGCAAATACCCCAGCAGAGTTTGAGAGAAGGGCTTGAAAAAAGTGACAGCCTCATATATTTTAAGGCAGGAAGAGGTAGCTTTGATCATTTAGTCTGACCTGCTATAATATAGGCCATGGCAAAATCCAGTGGCTGAGCCTTGCCTGTCTTTTAGAAAGGCAGACAGTAGATTTGAAACTCCTGGTTAGTTTTTAATAGATGATTGCCCTTATGGCTTAAAATCTGCTTTATTTCTAGACTCGGTTTTTGAGTTTCATCTTCTGTTCCCTGAGACTGCTTGCTTTCACCTTTCCAATCAAGCCATGCTGTCAGGTATTTTCTCCTTGCTTCAGTATTTATGTGCACAGTGATCAAGTTGTCTCTTTAATTTCCTTCAATATACTTAATAGACTGAGACTTCTTTCCATGTCTCTTTGATTCTTTCCCCAGCTGGAGAAGGGGAGGTGGGTGTCTGGCTTCTGGCCTTTTTCCAGCAAGCTGTTCTCACCCCCCTTCCTTCCACAGCTATGTTTTGGTTGCAGTCCTGGGAGGATGACTGAGACTTGAGACTTTCTCAAGTCCTGGTGCTGTCAGAGGATGTGCCTTTTACTGCCCTTGTTAAAAGGAAATGATGAGCTGCTTTTGCATGCCCAGGCCAGCTCTTGGCTCACTGATGCACCAGTGCATATTGGCTGTGACAAAGCTGTCTCAGGAATCTTCATTTCTGACAAGTCCCATGGAAAGAGCATGGGAAGGAGGAAATGGCAGGTGTAGCCTGCAAAAGTGTAGCTCTGGTTGAGCCTCAGGTGAGGTGAGAAGCAAGAGCAGTTTTCAAAACAGTGCGTCCAGTTCCTAGGAACTTGGATCAGCCCTTTGAGCTGTGCCTAGCTGAGGCATAGACAGTAATTCCTTGTTGGTCTCCACAGATGCTGTGTCACAGAGGGGTAAAGCAAGGTGCAGTGGTGTGCCCAGGGCTACACAATGAATCTTTGGCAAAATCAGGATTAGAAACAAAGAACCTCAGGTTCCCAATTCAAACAAAGCTTTCATATACCTGGGGAGTGTTTTCTATCTTCATTTCAAAGATGACAATTCAGTGCAGATAGTCTTGTGTCCTGCTTATTCTTTGTTCTGCTCTGTTCATACATTGCTGAGGAAGAGCTATAAACCTGTTGTGTGTGTGTCAACAGCATATTTAGCTCAGTGAGCTGATCTGGGGTGTCTACCCAGGGACTTGCTGGGATTCTGGATGGGTGTAAATATCTACCTGCATATAGTCTCTGGCAGACTCAGCGCTCAATAAAGCAATACTGGGCATATGGCAAGCCTCATCACAGATAAAGTAAAAGAAAGGCATAAAGGAAAAACTAAGTCTAGGTTCTATTAGTTTTAGGAATCTCTGGTTTTGGTTGCAAATATATATGTGATATTTATAGACTTTCTTGGTGAAAATGTCTTTCTAGAGTGCAGTTTGTTGGTGACTGGGAAATATTGGGCTGAGAGAGCTAGGCAGCACTGGAAAAAAATGTAGGAAATAAAAGCTGAAAGAAAGCCAGAGCCAGCAACTTTCCATTAAAGAACTTCTTAAAGGGGCTCTGTCTGGTTGTTTTATTAAGTGTGACAAAGTGATGGGAGGTGGGGGGGGAGCTCCTATGTTAATAAGTTGGGAAGGCACTGCCATTCCTCTCTTCAAAGCATCTCATGGAAAGTGGAATTAATTCATGGCATATGCTCCCAACATCTGCCGCGGTGACCTGGAGTGGTGGAAGTGCAGCGCCAGGCAGTGTGAGCCAGAGCCTGTATTCCCAGCTCCTCTCTCGGGCCTTGTGCGCTGCTGCCTGTGGCTGAACAGGAGAGTGGCGGGGCTGCTCCGGCAGAACACGTGCCCAGCCCCTGCCTGCCTGCTGGCCTGGGTGAGATGGCACAGCCCAGGTCACAGTATTTCTTGCTCTGAAGAAGGAGACATGCTCTAGACTTGGGAGGGAGCAGGGGGTGTTTCGATAGAAAAGAGACCAATTTGAATGGAAACTAATCCATTTTGTCCCAAACATCCTTTATTCCTCCCACAGCATTCCCTGACTGAGTCCTCCCTTCACCAGCCATCTGACTTGTTCTGTGGCTTGCTGTGAGGTTCTGAGTCCTTGGTTTCCCTCTTCTTTCTTTCCCACTGCATCTCTACAGATGATTTGATTCTCTTCGACAGAGAGGACGGAGGTTATATTTGCTGTTAGGTGGGATGTCATTCTCTGTTTAATGGCTCCCGGGAAATAATTTTCCACACCTTGTTTCCCCTTGACTGACCCAGACCACTGCCAAGAGCTGTATCCAGCTAGTACAGGTGGGTGAACTGTATTGTTTCCAGGTTGTGGCAGTCTTTTGTCTGTGCTTCATGATCTGCATGTGAGCTTTCCCTTGGGAAAGGGCACCCAGAGCCAACTCTCCACAGGCTGCTCTTTCTGCAACCACATTCTTCCACCTTTTTGGATGACTGGCTGAGATAATGGGGCACTTTCCTGGCCTGGAGACCTGACAGAGCCAGGAGAAACCGGAGTGGTGGGTGATCTCTAGACAGGGCAGAGATGCCCCACGGTGCTTCTGTGCTCTGCAGCTGCATCTGCAGCTTCTCCCACTTGCCCTTCCTTTTGAAATGTGGCACCCCAGTCCTGGGCTGTGCTGGGATGGTGTGGTGCTGACTGAGGGCCAAGGTAGGGCACATGAGGGATACACAGTTGGCTGCCCTGGTGAGACCAGTCCTCCCAGGACCATACTTTATCTGGGGGATGACCTGCACTCCTTGCAGTCACAGCCTGGGAAGCATCCTGATTGACTGATTCAGTCCTGAATGCTGTGTGACATGGACATCCAGAGCGCTCCTGAGCCCATTAATCTCTCTGCCACAGTCCCTGGGGAGATGAAACCTTTCCACCTAGTGCCCTACTACCTGAGTATGCCCCAGCAGATTGTTCTGCGCAGACCTCACTAGGGCCTGAACAGCTCTGGGCCATGGGCTCTGTTATCAGGCTCAATCTCCTGTCACTTTCAGGACCACTTCATTATCCTTTTATTAGCCCTCTTCTCCTGCTTATCGTTATTAATAATCACACTGGATCAGCTGGAGTGCTGACAGCTGCCCCTTGTCTATTCTTTCTGTCTATTTTAATCCTGCCTGCTTATCTGAAATAAAGCTGATCCTTTTTCTTTTAATTAAAGAAATTTGGTCAGCCAGCCCCTCCTCCATGCAGAGATAGGACAGATCACACCAGTGATATGAGAGAGCAGGAAAAGAGGCAGATTACTGGGTGACAGTGTTTTCCACAGCCCAAAGATATGGGATGTCAGAGTAGAGGCTGGAAGAGATTAAGGCACGTGTGTTGTGAGGAGAAACACAGCCCTGGGGCATTGTGAGGTGCTTATTTTGGGGTCTCTGTATCTGACCCAGTGTACCGATGCAGGGTTGTGTGACTACAGTGCACCAGTGCAAGACAGTCAAGGGAGGTCTGTTCACCTCTCTGCTTAGCAGGGGTGGCAATAGCAATGCCAGGCTCAGAGCCTGTACAAGTGGCACTGCCAGGGCTGCTGGGATCACTGCAGTTCCTACAGGGCCTGGAGGAGTTTGTTTCTCAGTGCTTTATAGTGCT